AAGGGAGGACTTGTCAGTGATCCCTGGGGAGAAAGGGGCTGGTTGGTGATCCCAGGAGAGGATGGGACTGGTTGGTGAACCTTGGGGAGCAGGAGGATGGTTGGTGATCCCTGGGGATGAGGGAGCTTGTTGGAGATCCTTAGGGAAGAGGGGGCTGGTTGGTGATCCTTAGGGAGCAGGTTGTTGATCCCTAAGGATGAGGGGGCTGGCTGTATCCATCCTGCCCTGTTTCCAGCTGCTGTGTCCTGGGGGACTCTGTGGTGGGCACAGCCACCGAGGGTGGCCCAGGGTGGCCCGTCCCTGTCCATGCCAAGGCAGGGACGAGCCTGACCCATTCCCATCCCTGTGTCCAGTGGGGGAGCAGGTGGTGATCCGGTCCTTCCCCATCGCCTCGCTGACCAAAGAGAAGAAGATCAGTATCCAGGCCCAGGCGGATCCGTTCCTCCAGGAGGGATTGCAGCTGCGCTCGTGCACATTCCAGGTGAGACCCCGGGCTCTGGGGGGCTCTGGGGGGCTGTGGCTGCTCCCTGGCATTGCTGTGTCTCAGCTGGTGGGACCCGTGTGACCGATGCCCACCTTGTCCCCCAGCCCGGAGCACCAAGTGCCATGTCCAGGCCTTCCTTGGACACCTCCAGGGGTGGGCACTCCACCTTCTCCCTGGGCAGCCCCTGCCAAGAAGGTGTGAGGCATCCCCACATGGGGCTCCAGGAGGTGGTTCTGCCAAACCTTGTGCAGGTCCTGGGGGAGAGAAACACAGCAGGGAGAGATGTCACAGCAAATGGAGTTATTGGGCATTTTACATCTTTGGGAGATGTGTGGAGGTGGAGCAATGCTGGGAGAGAGCTCCTGAATTTTCTGGCTGCTCCTGCCATGCTCAGAGCTGCCTTGACCAGTCACTGGGACACCCTGGAGCACCCTGGAGTCTCCAGGAGGAAAGGGAATGGGACAGGGTAACCAGCACGGAGGGTCAGGCGGGGCAGCCTCCCATCCTGGCCCGTGCCCGCTGCGCTCCCGACGGGATCTGAGCCCTGCCCCGATCCCTGGGAAGGGTGGGTGACCCCTGGGCCTGCTCCCTGCCATCCCCAGCTGCTGAAGATCGCCTTCGACGAGGAGGTGGCTTCGGACAGCGCCGAGATCTTCCGGAAGCACCTGCACAAGCTGCGCTACCCCCAGCACGTGCGCGGCACCTTCGCCTTCACCGTGGGCCAGTCGCCCAAGCAGGCCATGCAGCCCAAGGCCAAGGAGAAGAACCCCTCGCTCAGGTACCTGTGCTGTGGGGACAGCCACGCCTGGGATGGGCCTGATCCTCTGGGACACCTCAGGGCTCCTCCTGGCCCTCCTCCAGCCCCCCCAGCTCAGCCACCAAACAGGGACCACTTGGGGAAATGGGGCACAGGGGCCTGAGCTGGACGTGGCTCCCTGAGCCCACCTTGCTCAGACCTGTCCTCACACAGGATTTCCCCATGTCCCCATGTCCCCAAGTGCCACATCCACAGGGCTTGGAAATCCCTCCAGAATGGGGACTCCCCCTGCCCTGGGCAGCTGTTCAGGGCTGGACAACCCTTTCCATGAAGGAATTTTCCCAATATCCAACCCGACCCTTCCCTGGCACAGCTTGAGGCCATTTCCTCTTGTCCTGCCCATTGTCCCCCGGGAGCAGAGCCCTTCCTGTCAGGGAGCTGTAGGGTGAAGAGCTGTAGGATGTCCCATGTCCTGCAGAGGACGGGTCACACTGGGACCCAGGAGTTTGCTGCACTGGCATCCCCAGCCCTGCTGAGGAGGTGTCCCATGGGAGAGGTTCCAGTGGGCTGGGTGACTTGGAAATATGATCCTGCAGTGCTGGGTGACTTGGGGACATGATCCTGCAGTATTGGGTGACCTGGGGACACGATCCTGAAGCACTGGGTGACTTGGGAACGTGATCATGCAGTGCTGGGTGGCTCAGGGACACAGTGCTGGGTGACTTGGGAACATGATCATGCAGTGCTGGGTGGCTCAGGGACACAGTTCTGCAGTGCTGGGTGGCTCAGGGACACAGTTCTGCAGTGCTGGGTGGCTCAGGGACACAGTGCTGGGTGACTTGGGGACACGGTGCTGCAGTGCTGGGTGACCTGGGGACACGGTGCTCCTGCTATGAGTGACTTGGGAATGCAGTGCTGCAGTGCTGGGTGACTTGAGGACATGGCCCTGCAGTGCTGGGTGACTCAGGGACACAGTGCTCCTGCACTGGGTGGCTCAGGGACGTGGTACTGCAGTGCTGGGTGACTTGGGACATGGTGCTGCGGTGCTGAGTGGCTCAGGGACATGGTCCTGCAGTGTGGGGTGGCTCAGGGACACAGTCCTGCATTGTGGGGTGGCTCAGGGACACAGTCCTGCAGTGTGGGGTGGCTCAGGGACATGGTCCTGCAGTGCTGGGTGACTCAGCAGGGCAGTGCTCTTGCACTGGGTGGCTCAGGGACACAGTGCTCCTGCACTGGGTGACATGGGGACGTGGTGCTGCAGGGCTGGGTGACTTGGGACATGGTGCTGCGGTGCTGAGTGGCTCAGGGACATGGTCCTGCAGTGTGGGGTGGCTCAGGGACACAGTCCTGCATTGTGGGGTGGCTCAGGGACACAGTCCTGCAGTGTGGGGTGGCTCAGGGACATGGTCCTGCAGTGCTGGGTGACTCAGCAGGGCAGTGCTCTTGCACTGGGTGGCTCAGGGACACAGTGCTCCTGCACTGGGTGACGTGGGGACATGGTGCTGCAGGGCTGGGTGATGTGGGGACATGGTGCTGCAGGGCTGGGTGGCTCAGGGGTGCAGTGCTGGGTGACCTGGGGACATGGTTCTGCAGCACTGGGTGACCTGGGGACATGGTCCTGCAGTGCTGGGTGACCTGGGGACATGGTCCTGCAGTGCTGGGTGACCTGGGGACATGGTCCTGCAGTGCTGGGTGACCTGGGGACATGGTCCTGCAGTGCTGGGTGACCCGGGGACATGGTCCTGCAGCACTGGGTGACCTGGGGACATGGTCCTGCAGTGCTGGGTGACCTGGGGACATGGTCCTGCAGTGCTGGGTGACCCGGGGACATGGTCCTGCAGCACTGGGTGACCTGGGGACATGGTCCTGCAGCGCTGGGTGGCCGCTCTCGCTGTGCCCTGTGCCCTAAGCGTGTCGGTGTTTGTGACAGCTCCCAGCAGGTGACCCATCTGTTCCAGGGCCTGGCAGGGGGGGTGCTGTCCCTCGGGCACCTCGGCCATCCCAGCACGTAAGCTGCCTCCGGCCTGGGCGGGCGCTTCCGAGGTGGCGGCTCCGGCTCAGCCCTCCCCGCTCCCAGGGCTCCCTCGCCTGCTCTGCATGTGGCTGTCCCTCGGGAATGCCCTTTCCCAGGCTGCCGGCTGTGGGATCTCTCACCATCGCATCCTCCTGGTGCTCCCTGGCACTGCTGGGTCACAGGAGCTGGGCCTGTACCACTGACTCCGGGGGTTTCCAGAGCTCTGGCCTGTTCCCTGTCTCAGAAGTTTGTCTGGGTTTGTGACATGAGCTTTGTCACCCTTCCCAGTGCAATCCAGTGCCCCCACTGTCTGCAAGTCTTGTCCCTCCGGTTAGGCAGCTCTCCCGTTCCCAGCCTCTGTTCCTGAGCTTGTTCCCAGGACATTGTTCCTTCTCAGTCCTGAGGCTTTCCCTCCCTTGGTAGTTGTAGGGAGCATTGGGATTCCCTCACCATCCACTTTGCAGAGCAAAACAGGCACCTCCTGGTCTCCCTTTGGCCCCCACCTTGAGAGGAGGAAATCCCAGGAATCTTAGCATCAGCATGGCTCTTGTCCTGGGCTGGACAGGGCTCCTTCCCTGGCTGATGGATATCCCACATCCCCCGGGCTGGACGTGGCCCCTTCCCTGTATCCCACATCTCCTTTATTTCCCCCCCTTGGAGCCCAGGACTCACCGAGATGGTGACAAGGCCGAGGTCCCGCGTGTGGTGAGGCCATTCCTACCTTCAGGAATTCCTGCCCTCTGGAGCTCTGTGGGGCAGAGCCTGTTCTGACCACGCAGCCCAATCCCCATGGGTTTGGCAGCTCTCCCTTCCCGAATTTCCCCAAGTGCCTCGGGAGCACCTGAGCCCAGCTTTGCTCTCCCTGTTCCTGCTGTACCATCAAGGTCACCAGCCCAGGGAGGAGCAGCCCTGCACCCGGGATGGGCTAGCAGGGACCCCCTGCTCCCTGTGGTGGGTCCCCAGGTCCCTGCTGGGGATCCTCTGATCCCAGCAGCAGATCCCCTGGTTCCTGCCATGGATCCCCAGGTCCCTGCTGTGGATCCCCTGATCCCAGCAGCAGATCCCCTGGTTCCTGCCATGGATCCCCTGGTCCCTGTGGCAGATTCCCTGGCCACTGTGGTGGTTTCCTTGGTCCCTGTCATCAATCCCCTGGACCCTACCATTGATCCCATGATCCCAGCAGCAGATCCCCTGGAGATGGATCCTGACCCCTGCAGTGGATTCTGTGGCCCCTGTGGCAGATCCCCTGTCCCTGCCACGAGCTGGAGCCCTCTTCCTCTGGGATGAGCCGTGGCGGCTCCGATGTGGAGGACATGGTGTTAGTGATGGGACGAGGCTGGGTCCCCTCAGATCCAGAGGGGCTCTGTCCCCACCCTGGTGCCCCCAGGGCCGAGGTGCTGGCAGGTGACACGTCCCCTCCCACGTGACAGTGACTGAGCGGGGCCGGGGCTGCTCCTGTCGCTGCTTTGCTGGGTGACAGTGTTGTCTCTGACCCTCTGGGCTCCTCTGGCCGCGCTGGCTCTGGTCACACCCGGGCAGGAGGTGTCACCGGGCTCAAGGCGCTGTCTGGTTTCCCAGGACGCTCTCCAAGAACCTGGTGAAGAACGCCAAGAAGACCATCGGCCGGCAGTACGTGACGCGCAAGAAGTACACGCCGCCTGCCTGGGAGCAGCGCGGCAGCCAGCACTTCCCTGAGGACAACGAGGACGAGATCTCAGGTGGGGAGCGCCCCGGGCAGGGATGGGAGCATTGGCCACCGGGGAGAAGCCCCTTGTTCCGAGGGGAGCAGGGTGGGAGCATCCCCGGTGCTGCCCCCACGGGCCCCTCTCCCCGTTGCCGACAGCCCCAGCTCTTGGCTGCTGGTGGTGCCCCATCAGAGCTCAACCTGCTTCCAACACAGAGGGAGGAGGGAGGTCTTTGGGCAGTGCCCTCGGCTCCTCAGGTGGAAAATCATGGATTTGAGGTGCAGGAGGGCAGGTGAGGGTGGACAGAAGAGCTGGACTGGTTTAGGAGTAGCAAGAGACTGGAAGGGACAGGAGCCCTGTGTGTGGAAGTTTAGAACCTTCCAGGTGGGAAGCCTGGAGGAGGTGTGGTGGATGGGATTTAGGGTTTCCATGGGGGATCCAGTCCCAGTTCTGCCCAGCGCTCTGGTTTCAGGTGAGGGAGCCAGGAGGCAGCTCCATCCCTGTCCTGCCCCTGCAGGTTCAGAGATGCCTCCATCCCATCCCATCCCACCCCATCCCATCCCACCCCAT